TGATAAACTTTGCCTCTAATTTTGAATGTAGAATTGTAATTTTGACCATTATAGCATATAGTATATTATTTCAAACTATTTCTGTTGCTCCGAACGATGTCATTTGAAAGCATGAATTAAATGTCCGAGTTGACTTCAGGAACACGTTAGAATCTGGATCCGTGCCGATAAGTAAGCCGTTCAATGGTTCAGGTGGTGTTTCAATTTCTGGATATAAATGATCGTTGTACCTGTTGTCGTTGATGGTCATTTGTTCTGCCTCTATTGACTGTGAAACGGTGTGATTGTCGTTGTTCTAATCTTCTGACTTCATTGCGTTCTGCTCGTGTTTCTTCTGGCTCTTCTTGATGCAATTGCGCTATTCTGACACGTACATTAGTATTTTGTTCTTCGATTCTTTCGGATCTTCTATTTCGCATGTTTCGAGATCTATGTACTTGTATCATGGCTCAAATCTTCCCCTTTGCGTCTTCTTGGCATTGCTCACTGGACAAAACACTCATAAACAGAATTAACGATTTTACTTAATGATGAATGATTTTTGCCGCAGCTTAAATTGATTTAAAATGCTATGGTAGCGTGTTTTTGTCAGTGTGATGAGGTAGTAACTCACTTTATATGCGATTTTTGGTATTTCGGTATAGCAGTTTCGGAGGAGTATGGTAACACAAACTGTGACTCGAGAATTTTATATATTAGAAGACTAGATATTCAGGCAGGCTCCGGTTTTCACTTTCACAAGATTCTTTCGTTTTCGTTTTCAAAAACGAGAATTGGTGCTCCCGTTTTCACTTTCACAAGATTTTTTCGTTTTCAAAAACGGGCAAGTTTTTTTTGTCGAAAAAAAGTAAATGCCTTTTTCTACATCAATTCGGTTCTTAATTGCAAAAGGAAAAACATAGTTGACTCCTTGGTCTATTGATGTTCATTTCACATCATCAGTAGGTTAATCTAATTCGTATTTATTTTTTAAATAATTATTTTCTGACCCCATCTGGATTTCATACATAAAATATTTGTCGTCGGCAACAACAACTTTCGTTTTGCTAAGGGGCCGATAAATCTATTGCCAAAAGTTATCGTCAGTGCTGCCGTACTTGTAGTGGAACAAAACAACCACTTAAAAATACTTATAAAATGAAAACGAAGCTAAAATATTTGTAAAGAAAAGTTAAATAAGCTTTTTATAAATAAATATGATTAATTTCGTTTCATAAATGGTAAAAGTGCAGTAAAAAAGTTGTTGAGAATAGTGGAATGAAAGCTGCAAAAAGGTGGCAGCCCGTTCTGGGAGAAACTTATTTGGTGGAGCCGTGAAGCCTGATTCAGAAGGGGAGGAGGAAGAAACCCCAAATCAGGAAACGGTAGCCGAGGTAGCCAAGTCGAAAGCGTCGGCGTTGAAGGTCTATTTCCGGACTATAAAAACCTTCTAAAACAATTTTATATATTTGATGCAACGGAAATTCTAAAATGTATACAATTTAATCTCAGTGCACAGCTGCGCCCCAACACAAACGCGCCGCTACATATGTACACGTTTTCTTGTGGGTGTGTTAGTAAACGCACTGCCATAAGACGAATTTGAGCACCCCTGGAGTAAAGTAACGGTGAACAGTGAAGTAAAAAGAGTAATGTTAGAATAGTAAAGAATAATAAAGAAAATATATAATAACAAGTTGAAAGTGATTTTTGTTAAAATACAATTTCGCAGATTTTGGTTGATAAAAATGAAATTTCAAGAATTACAGATATAAATTTAATTAATATTAACGTAATAGTCAGCCTTCTTGCACCTTTTGAATGTTGCTCCAAAAAGCTAGAGGGTAGCAATTATCCAGCATTGCACTTGACTATTCCACATATCAATAACTTAAAAAAATATCCTTACTAAATGAACATGATAGAGAAATAGTTAAAAAATGTAAACTAACGCTTTTAGAGTACTTAGATTCAATAGTTATAGAAAATTTTAAAAAATATCACAACATTGCCCTGTTTTTTTTTAACTAAATTCTCAGAATTAGAAAAGGCACAAACTTTTAAAGACGTAGAAGAAATGATGATTAATATTCATATAAATAGCCAAAATGATGACATTGAAAAATTAATTAAACCTTCACAAGAAATCGATAATATATTTGCAGATTATTCAGAATCTATTCATAGCACCAACATTTTCTCATACATTGAGGATGAACTTCAAACATATAAAAATGTAAATAAAGCGTACAGTCAAGATTTCGATGTTCTGCAGTGGTGGTCAATAAATAAGGACCGTTTTCCTCTGCTTTATCAAATTAGCTGCAAGATATTAGCAACTCCTGCGAGCAGTGCAGCATCGGAGAGGGCATTTTCTGTTGCCAAAAATTTAATTTAATTATTATAATTAGTTTAAATTTAAATATAAATAATTTCTAAATTTTTTATTTTATAATAAATACATTTAAAACGAAAAAACAAATCAATTTTTTAATCGGACATACATACACACGAGAACTATAGATATATGTGTGTATGTACCAGTCGTGAAGTTTCACTCACTGTACAGTAAGTCAACTGCACACCAAACCGCTGCACAGTGGCCGGGCTGGTATGGAACCGCGGTCATAAATACTTCTAGATGTGCTACCGCTAAAAAAACTTTCCGGATCGTTCCACTATATCCTATAGCTTCCATAGAAACAATTGCATCAGTGGTGGCGCTTTCATGCGAGAGCAGTCATAAAATCACTTCTAATGGTCACATCAGGCTTATATTTACAAGCATAGAAAAGCCTAAAAGTAATCTGTTTAATAAATCTGTGTTTGAGGTGACTCGTGAAATTTTGCGTGTATGTTGCAATCGAAATTTTTTAATTCTCGCCTCAGCGGCTTCTTCAGAAAGCTCTCCAATCGATAATATAGAATGTTTTATAATATCAGGAGCATGAAGTAAAACTTTATGAACCGATGGGGGAAGATGAAACCAGGGATAGTTATCAGCTGCTTTGCGGTTTCTAGAGCATAGTCGCCAAATTTTGCAGAAGTTATTTTGTAGTCCGTAGATAGCTCTTGCAACAAAGTTGCGACTCTAATTATTAAATACTTATCAATTCCCGTTATGTCGGAAGATATTTCAGCATTACTAAAGAATTTTCTGGCTGTGTTGCCATCATTCGATGGCATTTTAAAATAATAATTTATTTTCACTCAAGCCAATCAGAATATTTTTTCGAAAATATTGCTTCTTTCCGCTTGACGATTTGCCAAAATGATGCAAGCTTCTTACAAACATAGTTTATTTGTTTTTGAAATTCTTCCAAATCCGGCTCATATCCCTTATTTTTTATCTTCTTAATTAAGGCATCCAACACATTTCTAGTTCTTTGGGCAAGTGTACCGCATTATTTAAGCCAAATGTTAAAAATATCCTTCCGAGAATACTCGCATTGACTATAAGTACCTTGGAAGAGAATTAACTAATTAAACGAAAAAATAATCTTAAAACATAAAACACAAAGCGAAAAACGAAAGTACAAGAAACTAAAACGACAACAACAACATAACAGACACAGAACAAAATCATGATTTCCTCCTAGATAGAGCAACTGGAAAATGAGTGTTGGAGCAGTCAAATTTGGAATAATAAATACATAATTATAAGTAAAGAGAAAAACTGAAGTAGATGATATTAAAGTCAAATGAAGTTCTTGTACTCTAAGCCTAGCTTGTAAATTACTCTTACTCTTACTCTTATACGGATAAACTTTGTAACTTCGTAAGAATTTGGCACTGCTCGTGTGAGTCAGTCGATCATAATCTCTCGTCTATGTTGGCTGCGCCCGCGCAATAAATAGCATTTTTATATCGATTCGTCTTCGCGTCTTCTTTCGTGACGGAAAATCCCCAGCTAGGCTGCTACACCGCAAGTCCAATTTAAAATCATTTTCAATTCCGTGAAAAACCTCACGGATTTTCCAATGAGGTTAGGTTGCATTTTGTTATAGCAAAAGTGCATCTGCAGGCTTCCGCAGCTGATGTAAACATTTTTATAATCTTGAAATATTAGTAAATAACGGCACATACATTTCATTTGGGGGCAACCGGGGGGAAAAACTTAAAACTTTACATAAACATTGTAACGCACAACATATATGAACTAAAAAGACACACTTTTTTAACAAAGATTTACACGAAACACAGCAAAAATTATTTATATATTTATCTTCACAAATAAAGTATATACCATTATATACAATATCCGTTCCAATCGTTTTTGGTTTAACAGCGTTTTATAATATATTTAAAATTTTTTAATTTGTGTATGCACTCCACTGCAGCACAGTGGTTCCGCCAGTATGGGAGTTGCGGCCAAAAATACTTCAAGTTGTTATATTGCTACAAAATTTTCCCATAAATTCTATAAAAATGTTTTAATTATAGAAAAAAATTGTACATGTCGCCCGACTATATCCTATAGCTTCCATACAAAATATCGGACCAAATTTGGAACGCGTTCCTATTTTCAGTTTCTTACTTTTTTTTATTAAAGTATTTTCACATTTAAATAATATTTTAAGAAGAACAAGGCGCCCACAAATATTAATCGTCCATATATACTAATTCCTTAGTTTAAATTATTACAAGTAAATTACAGCAAAATAAAAATAAAAAAAACATAATAATAAGAAATTTACATTCTTTAACTCCACCCGGGAGCATAGAGCATCTACAGTTTTGTAGAGGATTCATTTATCTTTTTGGTTTTCGATCGAACTGGTGATAAGCCAGTAGCGAGTCGCGACTTATCCTAGCGGTAGAGGCTTGTCGATCCATCGATGTTTTACCGATGTATCGATGTTTGAAATAGAGTACCCAACATTGATGCATAATTTCCAGCATCGATGTTAATATCGATGTTTTTGTTTAACATCGATGGTTGAATTCAAATTTTCCCCATCACTATTTTTCACAATAAGAAAAAGCAGCGAAAGGTAAGTACCAATAGCTGTGTAGTAATTTAATTTATTTTATCTTAAATATACTAATAAATAATCATTCAAATTTAGCGTATATCAGGAAAATTGATTGGTGGTGTTGAAAGCGTACATATGAAGAATAACGATGGACAGATTTCTAAAAGGTAAGTTTTAATGAGTGTAATCTATCACATGCACATGCACATGCACTTGCACATGCACATTTGCACATATGCACATATGCGCATATGCAACAATAAATTATATTTTTTGTGTTCCCACTCCACATTATTTCAATTTTATTAACTATATTCTTTTCCTTTTGTAGTTGCGGCAAATGAAAAAGATTTTGATCGAACCGATGACAAAGAAAAGGAGAATGTTGAGGAACCGCAAAACCACGTGGGTAAGCGACGTAGCAAGGCTTCGTTGGTGTGGAACCACTTTAAAAAATGTGCAGGCGGCCAAGAGGCTGTTTGCAACCATTGTTCGGCCAAATTAAAAACAAAAGGTAACACCACGAATCTTTTTCATCATCTCAAAAATAGCCATAAATTTTGCGAACTAAAAAAAGGGTGTGACTCTAACTCAAACTCAAACCTTGAAAATTTTGTGAAAAACGTAAAAATGTATGAAAACGGCTCGGCACGAAAAAATGCAATAGATAACGCTATTGTGCGAATGATTGCAATTGATTTGCAGCCATTCAGCCTTGTAGAAGACAGAGATTTTCGGGACTTAATAAATTTGTTGGATGAGCGTTACAAAATACCGAACAAAAAATTTTTCCGTTATGAGCTTCTTGACAAAAACTACAACAATATGAAAGAGCGTCTAAAATTAGTTTTACAAAACGTAGCGCATGTCTCTTTGACAGCTGATTGCTGGACTTCAAAGTCATTAGACGGATATTTAACAGTAACTTGCCATTTTATAAATACAAGTTTCGATTTAGTCTCGGCAGTCTTGACAACGCGTAAACTTTTGACGTCTACAAACCATACAGCAAAAAATTTAGCAGAAACATTATTAGCTGTGATCCAAGAATGGGATATAAACAACAAAATTGTGTGCATCGTAACTGACAATGATGCCACAATTAAAAAGTCTTGCGAGTTGCTGCAAATAAAAAACTTGCCATGTTTTTCACACACGTTGAACCTAGTTGTTCAAGAAGTTTTAAAGTTGCCGAGCTTAAATGATATACTTGTTAAATGCAAGCGCATAGTGTCTTTCTTCAAATCAAGCACTGTGGCAAATGCAAAATTGAAAGAGGCGCAAAATGTAGATAAGCCATTGGGTGTACTTCAAGAAGTTCCTACCAGATGGAACAGCGCATTTTTAATGATGGAGCGGATAAGAATTTTAAACGCCTTTATTGGTAAAGTACTTCTCGATTCACCTAAAGCTCCACTTCCGTTGTCGTCAGATGAAATCGAATCAATTTCCGAGCTTATAGGTATTTTGAAACCATTTAATGATGCAACTCTGCAAGTATCAGGAAATAAAACGGTAACTGTTTCTTTGATAATTCCAGTGATAGCCGAACTTCATCAAAAAATGTATCATCTTGGTAGCAAAGTTAAATCTGAGTGTGCCAAAGAAGCCATAAAACAAATATCAAAACGATTGCCTGAACGGTTCGCAGCTTACGAAAAAAGGACCATACCCAAAATAGCAACTTTGATTGACCCTCGTTTTAAAAAAGATGGTTTTTTGCAATCTTTTAATGCCGACGAAGCTGCAAAGGCTTTAGAACAAGAACTTTCAGAAAAATTGTCCTCAATATCTTCAAATACGCATTCAACACCACCCGATCTTCCAAAACGAGCACGTTTTGAATTTCTACAAAGCAAAATTGCATCCAAGCCCAGCTCCAACAGAGCAGATGCAATTATTTTGCTAAGGCAATATTTGCTTAAAGCAAATGCCGACGAGGATCTGAATCCTTTGCATTTTTGGAAGGTATTTTGAAAATGTTCTACAAAATTACCAAAATTAATTGTTTTCTTTTTTTTAGAACACTGACGAAGAAATTTGGAAAGTTATGATCAAGAAACATATGTGCGTTCCAGCCACATCATGCGAATCTGAACGGATGTTCAGCAAGGCCGGGCAGCTCATCTCTGATCGAAGGTGCTCGCTGAAGCCTGCCGTTGTCGACAAATTACTTTTTATAAACAGAAATATGGATCTCAAATTTAATTAATTGTTATTTTATTTTTAAACTTTGTATAATACTTGAATAAACTTATGTTATTTTGTTAAAAATTTGCTCGATGTATCGATTAGTATCGATGTTTTCGCTCCAAAACATCGGAAATTTCGATGTTATAAAATATTTTGTTAGAAAACATCGATGTTTAAAATCTCGATGTTTTCAAACCTCTACCTAGCGGTGGGGTTGCCACTTGGCGCCATCTAGGAGTGACGATAAGTTCTATTGAGAGTTTCTTTTCTCGGGGAGCCTGGGATTCAAACTCGGACCTTCCGGACCGGAGACCAGCGCTCTACCTGCTGGGCCACCGTCCCCCCAATAATAAGAAAATAAAATACAAATTATAGCCAAAGAAAATAAAATTTTAAAAATTAAATAATAGCAAGATATATTTAGTTGAAGTCATCGAGTAGTTGAAATGCTGATGCTGATAAGACGGATTTTTTAGAATGTGGGAGCCTTCTTTGGCCGGTAATATATGGATCCGAACTCAGAAGTAATCTGCGCATCAAATCTACATATATTTGTGTCAATCCGAGAAGTCTTTCGGGTGTGCTGCCTTTTAAACATTTTGATAACTTTATTTTTAGACTCTGCCGCTTCTTGAGATAATTCACCAATCGGCACAAGTGCATAATTTATTACATCTGGAGCATCAACCAAAATTTTGTGTACGGATGGTGGAAGATAGTACCATGGATACAATTTAATCAGCTTTCTGGCAGTATCAAGTGCATATACTCCAAATTTTGGCGCATTGATTTTGTAACCGGATGCCAAACACTGCAGCAATATTGAACACCGGATTATAAGGATTATAACGTCTTCATCAATACCCGTTATTTCAGCTGCTAATTTCGGATTTTTAAAAAACGCTCTTGCCGTATTTCCATCATTTGACGTGCCACTTCCTCCACTCCTAGGCTTGTCTACAATGAGTCCCATTCGATTGCGAAAATCATTCTGCATATTGGATTTCCTTGTCAAAAGTATTTGTTTTCCTTCTGGAATATTAACTCTCCAGCTCTTCAGATCGAGTCTGTATGACACGTGCAAAAAGTATTCAAAAAAACGAATATAGGAGTGTAATGGCGTGTAATAGCGTGCTTCATGAACCTTCTTCTTCAGACAATTTTCTAAATCGTTTACATGATCGATGACATTCGTAATTTTTCTGCATTGGTGCCGATTTCTGTACACCAATAACTGAATATGTACAACCGAGTAAAGACACATTGAGAAGAGTCACCTACCAACATTAAATCAATAAAGAAAAACGTTATTAAAATTCAAATTTAAAGCTTATAAGAACATAAAACACGAAAGACGAACACAAAGAACTACAATGCAAAACAGCTGCATCGACCTTGAAGAAAAAAAGAGACGATGTTAGAATATAGTTGATTATGCACACATCCGCAAATATCCGCAGCTAGCTTTACCTTTTTTTTTATACTTTAATATATTAACAAATACACTGAATAAAAAATGAATCGGGAAATCTTGGGGGATCACAATTAAAACTTTACGTAAACATAAAAAAGACGAATACAAAAGATACTAAAAATATAACAAAGTGAAGAAATAATTTTATAATAACGACAACACATGTTAGCTTTTATTAATATTGAAACTTAAAAATAATACCTTTAACTTCAAAATCCATTTTATATAATTTAAATTGGGCAGCGTAATTAGTTGACTGAACACTTTGAAGTTCGCTTTTGTTGTGAAATATTCGCGATGCGTTCAGATGCGCTTTGCAAATGAACACGTTTTCACAGCTTCAATTATATTTTTAGAAAGAACCGTTAGATTTCCAGAAAAATCTAGTTTGCAGTGAAAAAGCTTGGACATTTTAGTAACGATTTGTTTACTTTTCGTAAATTTTTGTTATGACTTTTTTTACTTTTGTCCTATGGGAGGAACCACTGTGCACTGCTTCTTTATGGTAAAAAGTTTCTGCGTATATCGAAAAAGCTTCCCTTGCATTCTTCCAGTAACGAAATGGTTTGACAAGTAGTTGACCCAATTTATTACATCCCACCAGTTGAAACTCTAAATGAAACACAGTACTTGCAATAGGCACCATCATCTTCAGCAGAATAACATATGTATGAGTAATCGATTAACCATTGTCTTTAGGAACTCAAATTCCTTCCACTAGATTTAGGAAACTTAAATGTTGTTTGCGGTGTCCAGACATTGTCAATAATTTCTAGCATCTCAGCTGGCATCAGTTTATTTTTTGTTTTCAAATTACGGAGACTGACAGTCGCGATATCACGGTTTCAAATCTTATTCTGCAAATTGCGTAGAGCAGCGTCGATGTGAGAGGACTCGGCACATTGAAGGTCGGCATCATTCTGAGTTGGCGAACGATTCTTATGGCGACCTTTTGTCAGCGAATTGGAATTAAGCGAGTGCAATTTTAGAAGTAGAGTTACTAAGAAAATAAACTACACACGATACAAGCTAAATCTGATTATATGGAATCAGCAATAATTAGTCGGAATATTTCATCAACTTTTTCCCTCTTTTTTTCAACGTGGCAAGCAACGTCTTAATCTTTTTTGATGCCTTCGCCAAATCAATTGCTTCCTTCTGAGGAACTACGCTGAGCGAATGGGTGAGCGATAGAATGTCGCTGAGACAGAAGAGCCCGACGATGAATTCAAACTTGCACAAAGCCGATAGGAGAATTGTTGCTTTGCCTGCTGTTTCTCTGTTCTTCCACTCACAGATTTTTGACAGAGCTTCGATGATCAACCGTAACTTCGCAACAAATTGAAGGACAGCATAGTGTCTCTCTACCCATCTTGTTTCGCACAACTGGACAATTTTTTCACCAAGTATCTTTGCTAATACGGTCACACGTTTTGGAAATGAGTTCTTGAAGAATTTGTCGACTTCTCGTATGGCACTGGCAACGTTTTCGATTAATCGTACTGACTTTGAAATACTGTTGTTGAGTTTGTGCGAGAAACACGGAGTCATAACAGCATTTTTTGCTTCTTTCAGGTTCTGTGGTTCCAAGGGGGGGGAATTGGGGAAATTAATTTAAAAAATTGATGGCAAGTCCTATATAAATAAACGCAAACACAAAAATAAAATAAACACATGAATTAAAATTAAAAATATAATTTACATACCAACTAGTTTTGTCACGCTAAGGTTTGTTGACTCATCTATTAGCAGACTGAATGAAGAATCACCTCCTTACGTAGCTCCTCATTGAAATGAACTGGTAAAACATTAGAAATAATGCTAGTGCATTTAGTTTAATATATGCAGCTGCAAAGCACTCTTTAAACTTTTGCACGCATAATTGGTTGAGGGGATCTATTGGGGCTATAGATGTGTGTTCCGCAACATATAATGATAATGCTGCTTCCTGCTCCAATGTTTTAGTGGGCCCGCTGAAAACTGGAGTTGAAAGCTGCCGCTCATTGAAAAGTGTTTTTGTTTTTTTTTTGATTTGCATGCGACTTGATGTCATGCAGCTTCGCGCCAAAACTGCACTTGCAATATGCCTTCGTTGTATCTGTCACATCTTTGCGTATCCAATCCTTAAACTCTTCATTCTGCAACCACGCGTCGCGAAAATGTTGTTTATAGATAACTTTCGGCATTATTTAACATGTCTTTTGAAATATTTTCAACAGCTTCTTCACCGTTTAACAATTTCACAATTTGTATCTAGCTCATGAGTGAACGAACTAAGTTCGCACATGAACTATAAAAAGGATCGAAGCGCTATCGGTACTATTTAATCATAAAAAAATTCTAGAATTCTAGCTAATAGCATATATATAGCTTTTGCAGTTTCCAATTAGCTAGATCTAGCAATAAAATAGATAATATGGCAACACTGCTCGTATCTGTGACTTGTAATTCAATTGTGATGGTCGGGCACATCTTCACATCACATTCAAATGCTTGTTGTCACAAAACTCGTAACAAGTTTCTTCGAAATGATAAAATTCTGAGAAAATTTTTCCGATTTAACTTGTTTTTTTAATAAGTATTTACGTATATTGTTCATGATTAACATAACTTTCGTAAAGCTCTGTTTAAATTTGCAATTAGATTTTTTAAATCTATCCGAAATCAGCTGCGTCGGAATGAACCAGTAGAAAAAAAATTAAAATTAGAAAATAAATAGAACTTTGCGAAATTAAAAAATTAATTAATTTTTTCGGGCGATTCATTATTTTTGAGGCGGTTATATTGCCGCTACTGCCTCGAAAATTGCATGCATGCGCTGAATGTGGTCGGGAAAATATTTTTTGATCATAAAGCGCGCCAAATACCCAGAATTATGCTCCATTTTTCTGCCGTATTGGGGTATCCAATCTTTAAGGTCGCGCCATAACCGTTCAATGGTTTGGATGTTTGCCTTTGTATCGGGAACAACAAAATTTATTGAGTGGTTGACCGTAAGGTGGCGATAACCCTCATCTTTGAGGCAATCGTTCGATTTCCAACAGTCGAACATTATTGTTGTTCCGTCTTCGATTTTCTCTTTTATAATCTCGAGAAGGGTATTTTTCTTTCGGACATCGACAGGAACAACAAAAAATCGTCTGTCTCTCGCTCGTAGCCTCAAAAATCCACTGCCCCTCGATGACGCGCCCGCGATTATATTTTCTTTTCCCTACCTTAGACTCGTCTATCTCGACAATCATACCCGGACCACCAAGTTTGCCGCAATCGACCCGAGTAGCCCAATCTAAGTATACCTCGCGCAAATAACTGCCCCAATCAACGACTTTTCTTCTACTCCACCCGAGTTCCTTCTCGCAAGTTTCTGTAAAACACCCAAAATTTCGAGTAACACAAAATGACACACGGAAGTAATCGAAACGTGTGAGTTTTCGAAAAATGTGTTGCTCTTTATGCTAACTTTGAAGTTGCAGCGTTTACGAATCTTTTTCTTATTTTTACTACGTAATTCACCTTCTAACAACTGAAAAAAAACTGCGAGTGAGAGGGAACGCGATCCTCGC